GGCTTGAGGACTTATACACTCACTCTGGAGTAGATGTATCTTCAACAGGATTTTTCATATATGATTGGTTGAAAGTGTTTTGGTGATCCGTGCAGCGCTTGCAAAGACATTTGCTTTTCTCGGCTACCAAGTTGCTTCCCTTAGTACATACCATATTTTGATTTTGTAGCTGTGCGTCCAACTAAATTGCAGTAGATGCCAATTCTACTTATGGTTTAGATGAATTGCTCTTGGATTATTTCTTTTGGTCTGACAATTTGAACGGTGTGTTGGTCCTTTCTTCTTGTTGTTTGGTTTTGGATGGACCTGTCAGCATCCTTATAAGCACGACCTTCTTGTCACTGCCTTTCTGCTTCGTCTCAGGATGATCCCAAGTTCAAGGAAGCCCTGAAAATTCGGAACCCGAAAAATAGGTTGCAGAGAATATATGTTGCCTGTAAAAGCAAGAAGAAATGCTCTGGTGGTGATGATATCGGTCTCCGGCGTCAACAAGATTCACGAGGACCAACAGAGAAGAGCCGGGTCGGGTGTGGTGCCCGGCAGCCAATTATAACCATAGATGGCTTGAAGATGGTCGCTGAATATAAAGACTCAAAAAGGAAATCGGATGAACAAGAAGACCGTCTCGAACCATCTGAACGAAAACAAGTCCTGTCTGCCGAGACGGTACCTTCCTCGCTATTAATATTCTTGGTGAATTAAATATGTAGAGAACATATGATGAGTGCTTCCGAATTGGTTTGCACAGGTTCTCAGCGTTCTCGAGAGGATAAGCGATGAGGATTGTCTGCTACTAGGTCTCGATCCTAAATATGCCCGTCCAGATTGGATGATATTGCAAGTCCTTCCGGTTCCTCCGCCTCCCGTGAGACCTTCCGTGATGATGGATTCGTCCTTGAGGAGCGAGGTGAGTTCGTGCGTTGTCTGGCTGCAGTCATTGTCCGCTGCTGTCATGTTTCTTGACGTGCTTCCCTCCGTATCCGAGCAGGACGATTTGACTCATCAGTTGGCAATGATAATTAGGCATAACGAGAATTTGAGGCAGCAGGAAAGGAGCGGAGCTCCTGCTCACTTCATCTCGGAGCTTGCCCAAGTGTTGCAATTTCACGTCGCCACTTACTTTGATAATGAGCTTCCGGGTCAGCCAACAGTATGTGTTTACCGGTGATGTGGTGTTTCCTTTGGATTGGTATGTACGTTTGATCATCCGGAATTCATGAAGTTGCTTTGTGCAGGCGACGCATCGGTCAGGGCGACCCATCAAATCTATTTGCAGTAGACTGAAGGGTAAAGGCGGTCGAATCAGAGGTAATTTGATGGGAAAGCGCGTCAACTTTTCCGCACGAACGGTCATCACGCCGGACCCGACGATTAACATCGACGAACTGGGCGTTCCTTGGAGCATAGCTTCGAACCTCACGTACCCGGAAACTGTGACCGCATACAACATCGAGAGGTATTCGATTGGCTCGCCCCTTGTGTTGCACTAGCAGTTTGTCTAACAAATGATGGCTTCTCTTTCAGACTGAGGGAACTCGTGGAAAACGGTCCGCATCCTCCTCCTGGAACGCCCGGCGCAAATTACATTATCCGGGACGACGGTCAAAGGCTCGATCTTCGATACGTGAAGAAAAGCAGCGATCGCCATTTGGAGCTCGGATACAAGGCTCGTGTCGTACCGAGGGTTTATTTTTTTTGTTTTTGGTTGCTACAGTAATAACTCTGTTTCTTTTCGCAGGTTGAACGCCATTTACGTGACGGCGACTACGTTCTCTTCAACCGGCAGCCGAGTCTCCACAAGATGTCCATCATGGGTCACCGGATAAAACTTATGCCTCACTCCACTTTTCGCCTGAATCTTTGTGTCACCACGCCATATAATGCTGACTTTGATGGAGATGAAATGAACATGCATGTTCCCCAGTCTTTGGAAACCAGAGCAGAAGTCATAGAGCTAATGATGGTTCCCAAGTGTATCGTCTCGCCGCAATCGAATCGCCCTGTTATGGGTATCGTCCAGGATACCCTCCTCGGATGTCGCAAGATCACGGCGAGGGACACCTTCATAGAAAAGGTGCATTTTTCTTGCATCTGCTTGAGAAAGGGGAAAGGGGGGGAGGCGGTCGTTTACTTCGTTTGTGTTTGTGGCATGCAGGATGTCTTCATGAACATCTTGATGTGGTGGGAAGACTTCGATGGAAAGATACCCGCTCCTGCCGTACTGAAACCAAGGCCGCTGTGGACGGGGAAGCAAGTTTTCAACCTTATCATCCCGAAGCAAATAAATCTGATGAAATTTTCAGGATGGCACGCAGAAACAGAGACCGGTTTCATCACTCCAGGAGATACCGTCGTTAGGATCGAGAAGGGGGAGCTTCTCTCGGGCACCCTTTGCCGGAAAACACTAGGGACATCTCCCGGAAGCCTCATTCACGTCATCTGGTAAGTGTAGCTGAGCTGGCGATAAGGGCATCGATGACTTTTGCCTCGATCGTCATCTGGTGCGCTCGTACTTGCATTGCAGGGAAGAAGTTGGGCCGGATGCAGCTCGCAAGTTTCTGGGGCACGCGCAGTGGCTCGTGAACCATTGGCTGCTGCAGAATGGCTTTAGTATGGGAATCGGAGACACGATTGCCGACGCGGCAACCATGGAGAAGATCAATGAAACGATATCAAAAGCTAAAAATGATGTCAAAGAACTCATCAAGCTTGCGCAGGAAAAGCAATTCGAAGCTGAGCCCGGGCGAACCATGATGGAGTCATTCGAGAATAGAGTCAACCAGGTGCTCCACACGTGAACCTGAACCCTTTACGTAAGATCTATCATCTTCATCCATCCACTTAACGACAGCCACTTTGCTGCCTCTCAGGTTCTGAACAGGGCGCGTGATGATGCCGGCAGTAGCGGCCAGAAGAGCTTATCCGAGAGCAACAACCTGAAGGCCATGGTTACCGCAGGTTCGAAAGGTAGCTTTATCAACATCTCACAGATGACCGCCTGCGTGGGGCAGCAGAATGTCGAGGGCAAACGAATTCCGTTTGGGTTCGTGGATCGAACGTTGCCTCACTTTACTAAAGATGACTATGGGCCTGAAAGCCGCGGTTTCGTGGAGAACTCTTACCTTCGCGGTTTGACACCACAGGAATTCTTCTTCCATGCCATGGGAGGTAGGGAAGGTCTGGTCGATACCGCCGTCAAGACTTCCGAGACCGGCTACATTCAGCGTCGTCTTGTGAAGGCGATGGAGGATATAGTGGTTACGTACGATGGTACCGTGAGGAATTCTCTAGGGGATGTCATTCAGTTCTTATACGGAGAAGATGGTATAGATGCTGTTTGGATCGAGTCACAGAAGTTGGATTCGTTGAGGATGAGAAAGACAGAATTCGAGAGCGTTTTCCGGTACCAGCTGGATGATGTCCACTGGAATCCTAGCTACCTGCAGGAGGAGCATGTCGAGGATCTGAAAACCATCCCCGAATGCAGAGATGTGTTCGATGCTGAGGTTCAGAAATTAGAGGCAGATCGGTACCAACTTGGCACTGAGATCGCCACCACCGGCGATGCCACGATGCATATGCCCGTGAATCTAAAAAGACTCATCTGGAACGCACAAAAGACATTCAAGATCGATCCGAGAAGGCCATCTGATATGCACCCGATGGAGATCGTGGACGCTGTCGACAAGTTGCAAGAACGGCTGAAAGTCGTTCCCGGCGATGATTTTTTGAGCATGGAGGCTCAGAGGAATGCGACTTTACTCTTCGGTATCTTACTGCGTAGCACGTTAGCCAGCAAACGTGTGATGAAGGAGTACAGGCTTACTCGTGAGGCATTCGAATGGGTCATCGGCGAGATAGAATCCCGGTTTGTGCAGTCACTAGTATCGCCCGGCGAGATGATCGGTTGCGTAGCCGCCCAATCCATCGGAGAGCCAGCGACGCAGATGACCCTCAACACTTTCCACTATGCTGGAGTGAGCGCCAAGAACGTCACTCTCGGTGTTCCCAGGTTGAGGGAGATCATTAATGTGGCCAAGCAAATCAAAACCCCTTCTCTTTGTGTGTACTTGAAGCCCGAGGTCAGGCACGAGAAAGAGAAGGCTAAGCAGGTGCAATGTGCACTGGAATACACCACATTGCGCAGCGTCACGCACGCAACCGAGATATGGTATGATCCCGATCCTAGGAGCACCGTCATCGAGGAAGACGTCGAGTTCGTCAGGTCATATTATGAAATGCCGGACGAGGACACTGCTTCCGAAAACATATCTGCATGGCTGCTTCGTATCGAACTGAATCGTGAGATGATGGTGGATAAAAAGTTGGCCATGGCGGACATCGCAGAGAAGATCGATGACGAATTCGGTGATGATTTAAGCTGCATCTTTAATGATGATAATGCAGATAAGCTCATGCTCCGTATCCGCATCACGAACGATGATGCACCCAAAGGAGAAGTACAGGATGAATCGGATGAGGATGACGTGTTTATGAAAAAGATCGAGAGCAACATGCTGACCGAAATGGCACTCCGCGGCATCCCTGAAATCAAAAAGGTTTTTATCAAGTCAGCAAAAAACAGTAGGTTTAATGACGAGGAAGGCTTCGAACAAGCTGTGGAGTGGATGCTGGACACGGAAGGCGTCAATCTCCTGGCCGTCATGTGCCACGAAGACGTCGATGCAACGAGGACCACCAGCAATCACTTGGTCGAAGTTATAGAGGTTCTGGGCATCGAGGCTGTCCGACGAGCTCTCTTGGATGAGTTGCGTGCGGTCATATCGTTCGACGGATCTTATGTGAACTACCGCCACTTGGCTATTCTTTGTGACACGATGACCTACAGAGGCCACCTAATGGCCATCACCCGGCATGGTATCAATCGGAACGACACCGGGCCTCTGATGAGATGTTCGTTCGAGGAAACCGTGGAGATCCTCCTCGACGCCGCTGTGTACTCCGAAGAAGACCACCTTAGAGGAGTCACGGAGAACATCATGCTCGGACAGCTCACGCCGGTCGGAACTGGGGCCTGTGCACTGTACTTGAATGATCGGATGTTGCAACAGGCGATCGAGCTTCCGCTTCCGAGTTACATGATGGACGGTGGTGGATTTGATTTCGGAACGACACCATCTGCTTCACCCAATTATGCTTGGGCATCTTATCACGAGGGAATGATGTCCCCGGGTTACTTGCTGAGTCCACAGATCCGTGCTTCACCCCTCACGACGGCTGCTCAGTTTTCTCCTTATGTTGCTGGGATGGCTTTCTCCCCCAGTCCGTCCTTGGATTATAGCCCATCATCTCCGGGTTATAGCCCTGCTTCTCCGGCATATAGTCCTACCAGTCCTGCTTACTCTCCCACAAGTCCATCATATTCGCCAACATCTCCCCGTTACAGCCCCGCCTCTCCCAGTTACAGCCCTACATCTCCCCGCTACAGTCCTCCTTCACCGAGTTACAGCCCTAGCTCTCCAGTTTACACTCCGACATCACCTAGCTACAGTCCTCCTTCACCGAGTTACAGCCCTAGCTCTCCAGCTTACACTCCAACATCACCTAGCTACAATCCTCCTTCACCGAGTTACAGTCCTAGCTCTCCAGTTTACACTCCAACATCACCTAGCTACAGTCCTACATCACCTTCCTATACTCCAAGCTCTCCATCATACAGTCCTACATCTCCCAGATACAGCCCCATATCTCCAAGTTACAGTCCTACCTCACCAAAGTACGGTCCTTCGGTTGCATGTCCAAGGCTGTCTCCGTCCAGTCAACATGGTCAATCATCTCCAAACTACAGGTACCAAACTGCTTTGAGTGCCTTACATAAGTTTTCTCGGTAAAGATCTTCGGTTTAAGCCTTTTTGAGTAATGCTGTGTTGTAAATTCCAATTGCATTTGACCTATCATCATGTAACTTTTGCTTATGACTCTTTCGTTACTCTGTTTTGTAGATCAACTTCGCCATCGTATTCACCTGCATCTCCATCATACTCCCCATCAAGTCCTGTATTCAGCCCTGACAGGTAATCTCTCTCTCTCTCTCTCTCTCTCTCTCTCAGAGCAGGAAAATATTGCAATCCAATTGAGAATGCAGCTAATGGCTCTTTTATGGTGCTTGCAGCCCGTCCAACTCCGGAACAGGACCGGAATACAGCCCAAGTTCTCCACAATACAGGTTTATATAGACTTGATTATTTTTCGTTTACAGTCTGAACCCATTACTTCTACAATCAAAATTGAGTCAATTTCTATTATAATTTTGCAGTCCGAGTGCAGTCTACTCACCGTCATCACCAGCTTACTCGACATCATCCAGCGACGAGGATGAAGAAAGCACAGGCTAATCGGCAGATGAATACCAAATTCTTCTTTGAAAAGGGCTTTGAGACTAGCAACACTAGTCTATTTGGAGACGGAGAGAGAGATTCTAGATTCAGATAGAAATCAGGTGGATAAAATCCCCTGTAATGTCTAAGCTTGTCACCCCTTTTTTTCTTGTTGTATCTAGTTTTGTCTCATAGAAGCTGATCCATTAGGTACTGATCAATATATATTTGTAACACTAAGCCTGACTAATACCCATGAATAATCCTGCACAATTATGTCAAGGGGTGGCTTTGCTGTAGTACCTTTTTGGTCGACGGAGTGTGATAAATCCACGAATGATGTTATGGCTACATGCTTTAAATTGAATATATATATATATATATATATATATATATATATATATATATATATATATATATATATATATATATATAACTATAACTATTTCGTTTTTAATTTCATCAAGTCATATTTAAAACATGTTTCTTGTGACCTCTCAAATCAGAATATAATAGAATCACACGAGCTATGATAATATTATTTGATAACAATAAAGACATCTATCAAAAATATAATTAGAATACTCATAATTTCTCAAATGGAATTTTTTTCCAAAATTATTGAAAGTAAAACAACATCACAAATGCATTAAAGCAAACTAACCTCATCCCACATATACTGAATGTGCTGAAAATGCTAGCTTACTTGGCTGGTAAGAACTTAGTCAGATAGATATAATATCCTGGATAAACAAAATCCACATCATGATTGAAGTAAAGAAAATATATATTCAGTAATAAGAATAAACTTTGAATACTTCCAACAAAAACAGCTTGATTTTTCCATAAATCATGATACAACATATACAAGATCAATTAGAGAGAGAAAAAAATCTGTACCAATCTCTCAATGGTGATGCATGCACCTCTTGATGATTTAATGAAAATTTGTAGAGGAGGTGAATGACTTCTGCTCTAGATCAAAAACACATTCTGACTCCAACTTAAAGTCACTAAAGATTCAAAGTTACTCATCTAAACAAATCATACTCTTAGTCCAGTTCAAAAAACCATCCAAAACTTAAATCTAGAGTACTAAAGAACCTTTAGTCAAATTTTAGTAAAAAAAATCCAGGAATAACATATTTACTCCCTTTTCTTGTTGCATTATACTAATCCTTGCAACTCCCTCGAGACTTGTGAGCAGGATTCAGCCAAGGAGGCAAGAAAGAAGATATCATAGAAAGTAATGTCAATCTTAAAGGAACAAATAACCCAACAAACAATTGGAATAAAAACCACACAAAAAAAAAAGAACAGATAAATCAATGAGAATTGCGGAAATGTCACATTGACAGAAAATTTCATCAAGTCAGCTTATGTTACTTCCAATGGTTTAAAACCAATCCAAAAGAGACAAAGTTGCATTTGATAGCATGAGAACCAGTGCGAGTGTCTGAACTTTGTGATAATTACCACTCACAAAAAAAATGTTTTCCTATTCGGCTAAATATATAACTTCAAATATCCTCGACAGAGGACAAGATACCCCCTACTAATATTATTTGGTCCACCTGAATAGTCAGAAGAGATGCAAGAAGACAGCTTTGCTAATACTACCTTCTTTATGTAGTATATGCCCTCTGTAGTTGTATGTACCAACTATCAAGTATACCCAAGTGTATCACACTGAACTCACATGCAACAGCCAATTGTTGTATAGTCAGCACTGGAAGATTTAGCAAATTTCGCAGATAAATTCACTATAAAAATATATCATTGAAGGTAGATTTTGGTCATGATTTGTAATTCCAACGACAAAGAACCATAGTTTACTTACCACTGGATCACATCTGTTACCATCAACAACACAGCATGTTTCCATGGTCATGTTCCCATAACCAATCAACATTGCTTGTATTTACTTGTGTGATTGTATGCCAATAAGTTGAACAGACACCAGTTTTCAAACATAACTGTTTAAGAAATATGAGACTTCAATTGGATCAGTACTCATCGATCAGTGTACAATACTTAAAGCTGCAACCATAATATTTATTACTATGCCCCATGTTAATCTGAAAAAAGAACAAACCCGACTTCCTCCAAGAATGCCGTTGTAGAATCTGAAGTAATGCATTCCAAATATTAATTGTTGATCAACATAGTGAGCAGCTGATAAAGATAATGTAATTCCGAGACACTGCTTCTCAGGCTTCACTAGAGTATCTCATATCTAGCATTGTGGTATTAAAAAAAAAAATTCCTTTTCCAAATAGAGCATTCTAACCACTGAGCATGTTGCAACTACAACAAGGCTGTGGAAGCACTTTACGATCAGAACCTAACCATTGTCACATCCAGCAAATATGCAACATCATTTGAATTAAAGTAAATCATATACTGATATATATGAATAAAAAAGGTAAAAAGGATGAAATACGATAAGCAACCATGATGCCAAGTATAAACTACACAATCAAGAGTTCCTCAAGGGTCAAAACATGCACAAGTACAGTGTACACAATCTAGATTCCTCAAACGCCAGAATTTAGTGAAGCCTGATAGACGTCTTCTTATATTAAATATGCATAAACATCACAGCATATGTAAAGGATCAACCAGTGAAATCTCAGAAACTAAAAAGGGAGAAAACATGCATAAGTACAACCTACACGATCTAGATATCCTCAAATGCCTGAACTTAGTGAAGCCTGATAGATGTTTTGTGACATCAAATACACATAAACATCACAGTATATGTAAAGGATTGACCAGTTATATCTTAAAAACTAAATGTCATAGGTGCTACAACTACAATATAGGTATATTTAGGTATTTACAGCAGTAAGCAAGTAAATTTCAAAATGTAAACAGAATCTTATAATCAACTTATTCTTAGTCATCAATAGTGACAAAGAAAAACATGGATATTCACATATGATATCTATATTACCCACTTCTTCCAACTTATAAGATGGGAAAGATGTTCTGATCATCATCTGCATCCATGTAATTGAATGACACGTCTCCTTTATAGCGGAAACTCGGGTTCACATAACATTTCATCTCGTGGAACAGATTCAGATTGTCTACCAGCTTATGAAACACATTGCAGCCGCAGCACTGATGCAACCACAAACCAAGAACCGCAAAACAGAAACCTATTTAGAGCACAACCGACACAAATAGAGGGAAAAAAACAGACATTTTGAGTTACAATCGCATGGATCACCTGAACAAAGACAGTGCCGTCGGTGTATGCATGGGGGTTGATGGCACGAGTGGTCCGCTGACCGCAGACGTTGCAGGTGAAGGCCACACGCATCCGACGGCGGGGAGACCTGGTGTAGAGGGACCAGGGGAAGGTGAGAACAGTCTGATCGGCGGAATCGGAGTAGGCAGGGATCCGAGGGCCCTCCATTCCGGATCCCGTCGTCCACCCTCTTCCAGCCGCCGCGCTCAAAACCAAGCCCATTGCCGTATCCTAACAACCAGACACGAATTGCACGTCAAAAGACAAACTCTTTCCATGACCCCCACATCAGAAAAAGAGGAGAAAAGTAGCGGGGTCGGGCGAATTACATTGGGGAACGGGGAAAGAGGTGCGCGGGCGCGATTGCCGAGGAAAGGGACGAGGCTGGTGCTTTCGGACACGGAATTGAGATCCGCGTCGTTTTCCCTACCTGAAGAGCAGCAAAAGGAAAGGGAGATTTAGGTCACAGATCGAATCCAAGACGGAGAAGAGGGGGAGAAGGGAAGAACTACTCTTGGAGGCGATCGGCAGAAGGGATTGGCGTCGAGGGGTGCTTCTCTTGGGTGAGAAGAAGGAGAGGGGAGACGGCGACGATCCGGAACTACGATCCGCCTCATCTTCCCTATCTGAAGAGCAGGCAAAAAAGGAAATTTAGGTCACAGATGGAATCCAAGAAGATGAAGAAGAGGGAAGAAGGAAGGAACTACTCTTGGAGGCGATCGAGACTAGGGATTGGCGTCGAGGGACGATTCTCTTGGGAGAGAAGAAGGAGAGGTGGGAAGGCGACGAGGGGATCGCCGCCGATGCCGCGACGGACTCCATTTGGGATCGGGCAGAACGCGAGATGGTGTCGCCGTGGGCAGTCAATAGATGGCGTTTCGGAGGAAGGACAGATAAAGAGTATAACGGGGTATAATTTTGCGTGGAGGAGTGAGTTTGGGTGTGTAGTTTAATGGCCACACGAACTAATAGTGGTTGTGTTTTTAATGAATATTTCATCTTTTATATAAATATTTATATGGTTTCTACGGCAGAGCGTTTCATGTTTTAAATTTTTTTAAAAATATTTTTTCCAAAAAATAATTTTATCGCTTCTCCATCTACCATTCGTCCCGTTCACCACGTAACCTCGCTCGCCTGCCCTTGTCATCTCGCCTGTAGCCCTTGCACGAGAGCTCGTCAACCCCCTTTTCTACGTGCCCCCTTTTACCCATTAGCCCTCATCTTTTGTTGTCGCTCGTAGCTCTCATGCGATGAGCTTATCGCACAAGGTTGTCCCCATTCACTTGCACCCCTTGTGCAAAGCCTCGCCCGTTGGTTTTTGTTATCTCGTCATCACTCGCATCCCTTATGTGAGGGCTCATCATACGGGGTCATCCCCCTCCACCTACAACCCTCGCACGAGGGCTAGCCACCTTCCTCATTAACCCACGAGCCCTTGTCATTTTACTATTGTCCATAGCCCTCACGTAAAGGTCTATTGTTGCCCGTAACCCTCGCGCGAGGGTCTATCATACAAGAACGCCCATCGCAACCCTATGCAAGGGTTGTTCGGCTCCCTCACCCTCCCATAGCCCTCGCACGAGAGTTCGTCGTGCAGAGTTACCTCCCGTAGCCCTCGTATGTGAGCTCATCGTCACCCATAACCCTCGGTGAGCACCACTACCATATGCAAGGGTCGATGAGCCGAGCGACCAAGGGTAAAATAATAAGAATTTTTTAATATTATAAGGATAAAATGATGTTTTTATATGTTTTTAACCTAGTAAGATACCTGAGCAAGACCACAAAAATTTGAATGAAAATTCTCTTCAAGATAATATTTGATAAAATGTATTACTTGGGCATTTTGTTGCTATATACTTTCTGATGAACGTCAGCATCATGCTTCCGGTGACATTATGACTTCATGTTCGAACATGGACAGCTAAAGTAGAATAATAAGGAATGAATCTGCTTCAGCGTCCTTAAAACAGATAGATAATTCTTCTAGATCCCAATCAAGAAGACTGGACTCCTACATT